AGAGAAAGGAATGGCTCTTTCTCAGGTAAAAGTTATATTCTTGGTTGATTGTTCTGTCTTCTCCTTCCTGAAATGCCGTATTTTGGACTTGCTAATTTTCTCTGACTCTGAAGTGTCCTGCCTAACCATGTATATTCATACCCAGGGCATTCCCTCAGTTCCATCTCCACATAGATTCCATCTCACTATGACCAAGTAACATAGAAATTTGGAAAAGGCTCCATTTACATGATTGTTCTGGAAAGGGTTTTATACCCAGGCATGGATTGGATATGGGGAGCAGGCTCCATGGTGTCAGTGAGGTTGGGTGGTAGTGAGTATCCAGAGACTTCATTTGGATGCCCTTTCAGCTCTTTATAAACCAGGATTAAAGGAACTGCATAGGTGATACATTAATGTGCACAAATACCTGGAAAGCTTTGGAAAAGAAGACTGATAGGGGAACTTTGGTTGAGTTTATAATACATTTGAAGCTAAACAGTTGAATCATTGTGTTTCTAGCCCTTAAATATTAATTTGGAATAGAATGGGAGGTTCAGAAATAGACATTGGGGGTGGAGAAGGTAGTCTTTTTTTTATAATTGGTTTTAAAATACGGAATCAACCTAATTGTTTAACAGCAGGAGGTTCTTTAAATTATTCACAGTGCATCTGTGTCATGAAGACGCTGCTGTTCATTTAGGAATTCTTTTGCAGCAGATGTTTAGATAAAAGTGTCTCTAATTTTTTTTTTTTAATTTCACTCAAGTTCAGGGTTAGGTTTGTTATATAGCTAAACTTGTGTTGTGGGAGTTTGTTGTATAGATTATTTCATCATCCAGGTGTTAAACCTAGTACCCATTAGTTATTTTGCCTGGTCCTCTCCCTCTACCCACCCTCCACCCTCTGGTAGGCCCCAATGTGTGTTGTTTCGCTTCATAGGTTCATGGGTTCTTATCATTTAGCTCCCACTTGCGAGAACATGCAGTATTTAGTTTTCTGTTCCTGTGTTAGTTTGCTAAGGATAATGCCCTCCAGCTCCATCCATGTTCCTGCAAAGGACATGATCTCATTTTTTTTTTAATGGCTACATAGTATTCCATGGTATATATGTACCACATTCTTTTTATCCAGTCCACCATTGATGGGCATTTAGGTGATTCTATGTCTCTGCTATTGTGAATAGTGCTACAGTGAACATGCGCACACGTGTGTATATTCATGCACGCGTGATGGGATTGCTGGGTTGAATGGGAGATCTGTTTTTAGATCTTTGAGGAATCGCCATGTGGTCTTCCACAAAAGTTGAACTAATTGACATTTCCACCAACAGTGTGTAAGTGTTCCTTTTTCTCCATAACCTCTCCAGCATCTTATTTTTTTTGACTTTTTAATAATAGCCAAAAGGAGCTGGGCACAGTGGCTCATGCCTGTAATCCCAGCACTTTGGTGTGGTGGCGAGCATCTATAATCCCAGCTACTCAGGAGGCTGAGGCAGGAGAATCACTTGAACCCGGGAGGCAGAGGTTGCAGTGAGCTGAGATTATGCCACTGCACTCCAGCCTGGGTGACAAGAGCGATACCTGGTTTCAAAAGAAAAAAGAGAATACGATTCTACATGAGAAGTTGACAAACTTTAAAGGGCCAAGTCATATTTTATTCTTTGTAGGCCATACTGTTGGCTAATATTCTACTCTGCCTTTAATGGATCAATAGTACCTACACATGGTTTTGGCCGTATCCCAAGTAAACATTATCTAAAGACATGGTGATGATGCAGGGCAGGTGAACCCCCAGACTGGGGCTTTGCTGGCAAGCTGGTGGTGGGCAGCAACTTTTACCGGAGTGCCGGCATGCATCAGCAGCAGAGGGACTGCTGCTCACAGGGCAGGGCTGCCCCATAAGGAGTGTGCCCAGAGTAGCAGCTCAGGGCCAGGTCTGCAGTCATATTTATGTCCACTTTTAATTACATACAAACTAAGGGGCAGCTTGTTCCCAAATTTCTTCTTCTTTCTTTTTTCTTTTTTTGAGATGGAGTCTCTCTCTGTCACCAGGATGGAGTGCAGTGGCGTGATCTTGGTTCACTGTAACATCCACATCCCGTGTTCAAGTGATTCTCCTGCCTGAACCTCCCTAGCACCTGGGCTTACAGGTACCATGCCCAGCTAGTTTTTGTATTTTTAGTAGAGATGGGGTTTCACCATGTTGGCCAGGATGATCTCCATCTCTTGACCTCATCATCCACCCACCTCCACCTCCCAAAATGGTGGGATTACAGGCGTGAGCCACCACGCCCGGCCATTATTCAGAAATTTGTAGAAAGGGAGTGGTCACTTCCAGGTCATTGCCATGGAATGGGGTGGTAACTTCCAGGTGTTGTGACAGCAGTGGTGAAGTGACATGGCAATGGACGGTGTGTCTTACGGAGAGGTGCTTTTGTGTCTTCCCTGTTTCAGCTAGTTTTCAATCTGGTTTGGAGTCCAAGCCCTGCCTCCCCTCTCAGTAATTCATATTTGACTTGTGCTCTGTAACATGATCTACACACAAGAAGGAGGGGCACCAGAATAGTAACAACACACGTAATTTTTTTTTTTTTTTTTTTTTTTTTTGAGACGGAGTTTCGCTCTTGTTACCCAGGCTGGAGAGCAATGGCGTGATCTCGGCTCACCGCAACCTCCGCGTCCTGGGTTCAGGCAATTTTCCTGCCTCAGCCTCCTGAGTAGCTGGGATTACAGGCACGCGCCACCATGCCCAGCTAGTTTTTTGTATTTTTAGTAGAGACGGGGTTTCCCCATGTTGACCAGGATGGTCTCGATCTCTCGACTTCGTGATCCACCCGCCTCGGCCTCCCAAAGTGCTGGGATTACAGGCTTGAGCCACCGCGCCTGGCAACATGGGTAATTTTAAAATGTATTTCTTCCTTTTAAATCTCTTTAGAATGTAACTGTTTAGAAAATAACAATCTAGTATGGGCTTATGGGTTCTGTAAAACTTAGATATATGATAATGACAGCACACAGACCAGCAGTTGTGAAATTAAAGCATACACGGGTAAGGTTCTGATGCTCTGATGAGGTAATATGGAATCACTGGAAAGTAGGCTATGATAAGCTGTGTAGTATAACCCCTAAAGCAAATGCCAAAAATTTGGTTATAGTTAACACTAATAAATCAAAAAAGAAATTGAAAAGAGAGCCACTTAAAAATCCAAAGGAGCCGGGCGCGGTGGCTCAAGCCTGTAATCCCAGCACTTTGGGAGGCCGAGGCGGGTGGATCACGAGGTCAAGAGATCGAGACCATCCCGGTCAACATGGTGAAACCCCGTCTCTACTAAAAATACATAAAATTAGCTGGGCATGGTGGCGCGTGCCTGTAATCCCAGCTACTCAGGAGGCTGAGGCAGGAGAATTGCCTGAACCCAGGAGGCGGAGGTTGCGGTGAGCCGAGATCGCGCCATTGCACTCCAGCCTGGGTAACAAGAGCGAAACTCCGTCTCAAAAAAAAAAAAAAAAAAAAAATTCAAAGGAGACAAAGAAGGAAACGAGAAGAAAGAACAAAGGCAACAACATAAAACCAAAATCAAGATCGTTTAGCCATATAATAATAACTTTAAAAGAATGTGGGCTAAACACCCCACTTGGAAGAAATTTTCCATTAATATGACAGATGGGGTAACAGCACCCTTGGATGAACATCGGCAATTTTATTTTAACTCAAATTTAACACAAAGACCCTAAGCCTAGAAGGTTTTTACAGTTTGTTTGTTTGTTTGGGGGTTTTTGGTTTTTGTCATCAGTATGAACTTCCTGGTTGTGGAGTCAGTGACTGAGCTCATCTGATTCTGAGGATTAGTCAGGTGAAGGAGGCAGAGTGAAAGAGGGCAAGTTTCTTAATGATAAACCAGTTGGGTAAAGTTAAAAGTGAGGGAACAGATCATTCATTGAGGGTGGTCACATAATGAAAGCTAAGATAGTTCCAGATGAATTAAAAATAGGTGGTTATTCTAGTGGAAGTAGAATATCCAAAGTGGAAGGGAAGGAAGTAGTAAGTTAAGAAGGAAACTCTCAAATGCAGATTTCCAAGTTTGTGCAATTAGTGAAGATAATGAGCTACCAACTGTAATCTTGGATATGGAAGGTTGAGGTGAGAAAAGTAAAAAACAGGTCATTGAAAGGGTACTTTCAGCTTTCTGGAAGTTGTAATGTGGCAGCAAGTATCTTTGAATTCTTAGGGGCTTGGAAGAACAAGTGTTTTTTTCTCAGAACTATCATTATTCAGCTCTTAGTTCCACAATGTCATGCTGGGATTCAGGGTAAAATTCAGTCTCTATCAGGACATACCATATTAGTAGCAGAGAAAAGAGAGGGTTAGACAAAGCAAATGAAGCCTCTTACAGATTCCACTTAAATTCAAACATGCAAGCTTCTGTCCTCAATCCTCTGGAGCGCAATCCATGAGTTGCCGCCCTGGAACCACCCAATCTTGTAGCTTTCTTGGCAGAACCAAGTACGCAGAGGGTTTCATACACACAGCAGGAGGTACAGCTGACTTGAGTTTGCCCCGCCTCAGGATGGATGCACATAGCTGAGGGGCGCCGGCTGTCTGGGTAGAGCCTGCGCCATGAGCAAGCGGGGCCCCACGCTGGCCTTATTCTCAGTATTTGCGGCTTTTTGTAGCACAGTCACGGGTCACTTAATGATGAGGACATATGCTGAGAAATTTGCTGATTTCATCACTGTGCGAACATCATAGGGTGTACTTCCACAAACCTAAATGGGATAGCCTACTACACACCTAGGCTATACCATAGAGACTTTTTTGGGGTTTTGTTGTTGTTGTTTTGAGACAGCGTCTCACTGAGACATCCAGGCTGGAGTGGAATGGCCCAATCTTGGCTCACTGCAACCTCTGCTTCCCAGGTTCAAGCGATTCTCCTGCCTCAGCCTCCCGAGTAGCTGGGACTACAGGCACACACCACCACACCTAATTTTTATGTTTTTTAGTAGAGACAGGGTTTCACCGTATAGACTCTGGATCCGAGGCTACAAATGGGTACAGCGTATTGTCATAGGCAGTTGTAACACAGCGGTATCTGTATATCTAAACATGTCCAAACAGAAATGGTATAGTAAAAATACAGTATTCTAATGGAACCATCATTGTATATGCAGTCTTTCATTGAACAAAACAGCATTATGTGATGCATAACTCTCTAAAGCTGTTGAAAACAAAAGCACTGTCCAGATGACTTCAGTGGGGCCTGATGTGGCCTGGGAATCTGCGTTTTACTCTGATTTCCAAGTCATTTGAGAACTCTGGTGAGTCAGCTGCCTTTTGGAGGAGTTTTAGTTATTTTCTCTGATCAAAGGAGAATTTTATATCATTCCTGCAATAAGCCAAAGAATAAAGAAAAAAATTGTAAGTATGACACTGAGCTACTTGAGGGAAGGTGTATCAAAGGACATGCCCATGATGGACAATTTTTAAGGAGCTAAAAGTGGCCTAAATGGCTATAAATTAATTAGAGGAAATTGACAGGGATATTAGTTGACAGGGATAGTCAACTAATAAGTCGACAGTTTATCCAACTTATTGACAGGTGGCTCATGCCTGTAAACTCAGCACTTTTGGGAGACTGAGGCAGGCGGATCGCTAGGTCAGGATTTTGAGACCAGGCTGACCAACGTGATGAAGCCCCCATCTCTACTAAAAGTACAAAAATTAGCCAGGTGTGGTGGCGCATGCCTGTAGTCCCAGCTACTCAGGAAGCTGAGGCAGGAGAATTGCTTCAACCCAGGAAGTGGAGGTTGTAGTGAGCTAAGATCATGCCACTGCACTTGAGCCTGGGTGACAGAGCGAGACTCCATCTCAAGAAAAATTTAAACATGTCATCTCAAGCCAGGCGCGGTGGCTCACGCCTGTAATCCCAGCACTTTGGGAGGCAGAGGCGGGTGGATCACGAGGTCAAAAGATGGAGACCATCCTGGTCAACATAGTGAAACCCCATCTCTACTAAAAATACAAAAAATTAGCTGGGCATGGTGGCGCGTTCCTGTAGTCCCAGCTACTCAGGAGGCTGAGGCAGGAGAATTGCCTGAACCCAGGAGGCGGAGGTTGCGGTGAGCCGAGATCGCGCCATTCACTCCAACCTGGGTAACAAGTGCGAAACTCCGTCTCAAAAAAAAGAAAAAACAAACAAAAAAAACCATGTCATCTCTACTCACACCAAATTGACCAAGGAACTCACAAAGTCAAGCCTATCATAAATCAGGCAAGGAATTTCAATCCTTGATTTGAAGTGTTGCCTCAAGTCAAGGGCCATGCCTGATATCAAAGGGCAGAGATATGTCATTTCATAGGAGGGAGATAATTAATTGGGAATCATTTACAATATAGGACAATACAGCTTCTATCAGAAATAATTAGTCCCTCTTTTGTTCACGCAAAATATACTTGCTCCCTCCCGAAAAAGAGAAAGTCCTACCCAAACATGACTTTAGTCACAAATGGGATCTCAAGAGAATTCTGATTCTTAGTCCTATGGAGTCCCCACAAGACATGGTGGAACAAATTTAAGTGAAACCTCAATAAACCTTCCCATTGAGAAAAGGAAGAGAAAGAGTGTACCCAGTAGTCTGTGGTGCAGCCTTGGTGGGCAGAGGTAGTCGGGCCCTGATTCCGCAGGGGGCAGGAATGAAGGATGATCCGCTTCTTGGCTCCAGGTCTCCTGAGAACAGATAGCCAGTCCTTTGTGTTTTGTTGTTTTTTACTTCACCTGATATTATCTAATAGCGTATTAGAATCTATGCATTCTGTTGTATTTGGTTGTTCTAATTTGGTCCCAAGGTCTCTCAGGAGAGTGGCCATAAATAAATACAGCCCTGCGCGAATGAGACTCCAGGATTTGTTTGTGGATGCTTTGTGCATTGTGCCTTTTATGGGACATTTCTTTATCCTGGCAGACAGCCTAATGCCTGTGTCCCACCTGTGAACAGATATCCCTACCACAGAAAACTTGTTCAGGCTGGCAGATGCCCTTGTAGCCTTTGTCTGACCTGTGTCCAATTTATTCCTACCAACATAGTCACTCTCTAGGACAGCTATGACCAGGAAAGAAGCTGGGGTCAGGAGTGTTGGTCAGGCCGGGCATGTTGGCTCATACGTGTAATCCCAGCACTTTGGGAGGCTAGGCGAGCAGATCACTTGAGGTCAGGAGTTCAAGACCAGCCTGGCCAACATGGTGAAACCCCGTCTCTATTAAAAATACAAAAACTAGTCGGGTTCAATGGTAGACTTTTGTAATCCCAGCTACTGAGGAAGCTGAGGCAGGGGCATCGCTTGAACACAGGAGGTGGAGGTTGCAGTGAGCCAAGATTGCACCATTGCACTCTGGCCTGGGCAACAAGAGTAAAACTCCATCTCAAAAAGAAAAATAATTGGCCATGTTAGTGGGGTGCCATGGTTAAGAGATTCAGTGTATTAGTCCATCTTGGGTAATTTATGAAGAAAATAGGTTTAATTGGCTCACAGTTCTGCAGGCTGTACAGGGAGCATGATGCTGGCATCTGCCCTGCTTCTGAGGAGGCCACAGGAAACTTACAGTGATTTCGGAAGGCAAAGTTGGATCAGGCACTTCACATGACCAGAGCTGGAGGAAGAGGGAGAGGAGGAGGCGCCACACCCTTTTAAACAACCAGCTCTCATGAGAACTCCCTCATGAACACAAGAACAGTACCAAGGAGGAATGTGCCCCCATGATCCAGTCACCTCCAGTCAGGCACCACCTCCAACAATGGGGAATACAATTTGACAGGAGATTGGGGCGGGGACACGGATCCAAACCCTGTCACTCAGGCAGGGTGAGGTGGCTTACGCCTGTAATCCCAACACTTTAAGAGGCCAAGGTGGGTGGATCACCTGAGGTCAGGAGTTCAAGACCAGCCTGACCAACATGGAGAAACCCTGTCTCTACCAAAAATACAAAATTTAGCTGGGCATGGTGGCAGGCACCTGTAATCACAGCTACTTGGGAGGCTGAGGCAGGAGAATCACTTGAACCAGGGGGGCGAAGGTTGCAGTGAGCTGAGATCGTGCCATTGCACTCCAGCCTGGGCAACAAGAGTGAAACTGTGCGTCAAAAAAACAAAAACAAAAACAGTAATACCAAACTGTATCACTCGTCTTTGCAGCCAACCGTGAATCCTGATTCACCCACTTACAGGGATGTGATGAGCCCTTAAACCGCGTTTGTCCTCCGTTTCCTCATTTGTAAAATGTGAATAACATCAGTACTGAACCTCACCGTCTTAAGATTCAGTTTTTACACATAAAGCACTAATAACAGTGACTCTCAAAGTGTGATATCAAGGAAAAAATAAATGCAAACTTGAAAAATCACTTATTAAAGAAAAATAGATGTATTATTTTGGGATGAGAACAAATTAAAGGGGAGGATACTGATGTCAGTTGCCACAGCTAAAGCACAACCCCATGTTTCCCTGCAAGATCCCTTCAACACAGAGAGCCTAGTGGTGCACTATTACTATCTGTTATGAAATACCCAACTGAGGGGAGATGAAACTGTGGTGGCAGAAGCAGCAGGATTCGTTAAAAGTTATGATTAAATTTTAATTAAAGCATAAAACTTAAGATACATTCTAAATCAAACAGCAGTAAAACATGATGCCAGTTGTTAAATGTCCATGTAAATGTGCACATGCTGTTGTGGTTCTTTTGTTTGTTTTTGTTTGAGGCAGCGTCTCACTCTGTCGCCCAGGCTGGAGTGCAGTGGCACAATCTCGGCTCACTGCAACCTCCGTCTCCCAGGTTCAAGTGACTCTCCTGCCTTAGCCTTCTGAGAAGTTGGGATTACAGGCACCCGCCACCACATCCGCAATTTTTGTATTTTTTGTAGAGACAGGGTTTTGTCATGTTGGCCAGGCTGGTCTCGAACTCCTGGCCCCAAGAGATGTCCTCCTTGGCCTCCCAAAGTGCTGGGAATACAGGTGTGAACCATCACGCCCAGCTCTGGTTCTTTTGCTTGAACTACCCTCTATGATAACCATTCTTTCTTCAATTTACAAGAACAACTAATTTTTTCATTAATCATTGAGATACAACAGCTATTGCTTTTTAAGCAGGATGATTACCACTTCCCCTACATTACTTCTGCCACTTAACCAGGTCCTACTAAACTGTCACTCTCATAAAAAGCCCAGTGTCAAGGCTGGGCACGGTGGCTCATGCCTGTAATCCCAGCACTTTGGTAGACTGAGGCAGACAGATCAATCACGAGGTCAGGAATAGAGCCCATCCTGGCTAACACAGTGAAACCCTATCTCTACTAAAAATACAGGTGCCTGTGGTGGCGGGTGCCCATAGTCCCAACTACTTGGGAGGCTGAGGCAAGAGAATCACTTGAACCCAGAAGGCAGAGGTTGCAGTGAGCCAAGATCATGCCACTGCACTCCAGCCTGGGCAACAGAGCGATACTTCCTATCTTTTTTTTTTTTTTTTGGCGGAGTCGGGGGATGGAGTTTTGCTTTTGTTGCCCAGGCTGGAGTGTAGTGGCATGATTTCAGCTCACTGCAACCTCCGCCTCTCAGGTTCAAATGATTCTCCTGCCTCAGCCTCCTGAGTAGCTGGGATTACAGCATTTGCCACCGCACCCGGCTAATTTTTTTTGTATTTTTAGTAGGCACGGGGTTTTATCACGTTGGTCAGGCTGGTCTTGAACTTCTGACCTCGTCATCCGCCTGCCTCGGCCTCCCAAAGTGCTGGGATTATAGGTGTGAGCCACTGTACCCAGTCTGAGACTTCATCTCACACACACACAAAAGCCCAGTGTCTTAATGTCCTGGCATGCCATCTCACGGTCAACTGGTAGAGCAGCAGTCCTTTCTGATGAGCCAGTGGCCCTCTGGAGAAGGGCACACTGAACACAATAAGCATGGCTTATAGTTTTCTATTATTCTTCACCCATCCCTGGCGCTAATTCATACAATATTAAATTCTTAAATTCAGCATCCTTGTTCTTCAGGGAGCATGGGTAGGAATGAACCACACCTAACAGAGTGGCCCTTTCATTTTATTGATTCCTTCCCAAGGACCATAACGAAAGGCCTATAAGAAAAGTGTGGCATTGACAGATTTCAAACTTCAGATAGAAACTAATAGTAGTAATGTAGCCTTTCCAAGAAACTTCACATAAATGAATATTTTATAAACTGAAGTTGATGTGTCGTTTCCACACGTCTTTTGCTCCTTTGATATACGTCATGTTATGAATTTAACATATTTTGGTCGGGTGCAATGACTCACACCTGTAATCCCAGCACTTTGGGCGGCCGAGGCAGGTGGATCACCTGAGGTCAGGAGTTCAAGACCAGTCTGACCAACATGAATAAACCCCGTCTCTGCTAAAAATACAAAATTAGCTGGGTATGGTGGCACATGCCTGTAATCCCAGCTACTCGGGAGACTGAGACAGGAGTACCACTTAAACCCGGGAGGCAGTGGTTGTGGTGAGCTGAGATGGCACCATTGCACTCCAGCCTGGGCAACAAAAGTGAAACTCTGTCTGAAAAAAAAAAAAAGACAAACACACACAACATATTTTGACCTGGAATTATTCTGCAGTTTGTAATATTACCAGTTAATTTTGGAGAATTGGAGACTTAGTGATTCCTCATATGAATACTATGATGTGGAGACTGTTGTGGAAGTTGGTTTAAAAAACTACCAGCCATGGCACTGTTGCTTAAAGGTCTTTTCACGTTTAGTACAGTTTTATTTATTTATTTATTTTATTTTTATTTATTTATTTTTTTTTTTTTTTTGAGGCGGAGTTTTGCTCTGGTTACCCAGTCTGGAGTGCAATGGCGCAATCTCGGCTCACCGCAACCTCCGCCTCCGGGGTTCAGGCAATTCTCCTGCCTCAGCTTCCTGAGTAGCTGGGATTACAGGCACGTGCCACCATGCCCGGCTAATTTTTTGTATTTTTAGTAGAGACAGGGTTTCACCATGTTGACCAGGATGGTCTCGATCTCTCGACCTCCTGATCCACCCGCCTCCGCCTCCCAAAGTGCTGGGATTACAGGCGTGAGCCACCGCGCCCGGCCTTAGTACAGTTTTAATAGATTATGTATGAATTTTCTCATGACCGGAAAGACAGGGACATTTGATAAAAAGCCTTACCACTTTTGGCCTTGCACGGTGCCTCACACCTGTAATCCCAGTACTTTGGGAGGCTGAGGCAGGCAGATCACCTGAGGTCAGGAGTTCAAGACCAGCCTGGCCAACCTGGTGAAACTCCATCTCTACTTAAAATACGAAAACATTAGCTGGGCGTAATGTTACATGCCTGTAATCCCAGCTACTTGTGAGGCTGAGGCAGGAGAATCACTTCAACCTGGGAGGCGAAGGTTGCAGTAAGCCGAGATCACACCATTGCACTCCAGCCTAGCAACAAGAGTGAAACTCTGTCCCCAAAACAAACAATAAAACAAATAGCTTACCACTTTCATTGCATTTGTGAGGTTGCTCTCCAGTATAAATCCTGTGATGTGCCGGTTTTGACCACTGGGTAAAAGCCTTAGCATACATATTACTTTTGTGTGATTTATCTAAAAGATGTATACTTTGTTTTTTGTTTGTTTTTGAGATGGAGTCTTGCTCTATCACCCAGGCTAGAGTGTAGTGATGCGATCTCGGCTCACTGCAACCTCT